AATAAATCACGACGGCTAATGCTTTTTGTTACTTCTAATGTCTATCAATGATGTAAACGAGAATGCTTCAAAAGAATATGATTGATCGTATTTGAGTTTTTATTCGCTTCACTTAAAATGTGAACTAGGTAATAACCATTTTTATATATAGGGAGAAAGCCCAAAACGCGCTACATCTTTTGGTATATTTATATGGAGCATCAAATGCAGTTAAAAGTATCAATAGTGCATTAGAAGAAAAAAGGACATTTTTTAAAAATCTATGGTGTAAATACTGTTGTAATATTCTTTTATTTCGCATATATCTCGACGTAGGTAAAAGATAAAACCTTGAATTTTTTTTCAAAAGATGCACCGTGGAAAGCTCTACAAAAACTATATAATCGAATTCCTTTTTCATCTATTCCGATGATTTTTCTTATACTCAAAATGAACAACTTACATGGTAGTGTCACTTCCCGTCATACTGAAAATGTTCGAAGACTTTTTTGTTCTGGATATGTCTCGTCTTGAGAAAATGATGAAATATTAAATTTGTTTTTAAAAGATGTGCCGCCGAAAGCTCTACAAAACTTGTATAGACCAAATCGTATATTGTATCGGAAAAGTTCTTGAAAGATTTTCTATACGATGGGAAGTGACACTGTCATCAATAAGTTGTTAATTTTGTGTATAAGAGTGTGGGTGTTTGTTATATTATCTTGCTCACAACAACACCGCGCAATTATTAATCGACACCGTATAACTGTAACGTCACCTAACTAAACATGCCCTGCTTTGTAGCACCATCAAATATTTCATTTAACTTGCATTTAGTCGCAAGACAAGACTAGATAAAGCATTTCAATGAGATGTGGAGAGTAAATGCAAAAATGACTCATGTCTTATAAGTCGGCCGTTACATTCACATTGTTGAATCTAAGAGTTCATTTGTTGTTTTTTCTTATGGTTTTGACTGACATGATCACTTAATTTAAGATTTAATATTTCTTAGTGTGATAAATGAGAAAAAATTTAATACGTCTGCTCTTACAAGGCTATACAGATAGAAAAAGGAAACCCATAAAAAAAACTAATTAGAACACCTAGCGTCACACCATTAGATTGATTAAACAGACGTCTTATCAAAAGAAGAAACCATTTTAAAGACTATATTTTTTTTCGCTGGATATCTCAAACAGCCAACTAAAAAAATATCTATTGAACGCTCTTTTTCTAATGTAGGACACACTTGCTGAAATATCCAAAACAAACCTACTCCTAACAATAGTTTCCTATTTTTTATCATCGCGTTATGTCCTCTGCATTTTTGTGATAATGTTGAAGTCGTCCATTGAAACGAGCTCATATTTTCAGAGCTTCGACGCAAGACAGTGATATATTATTCAACGCGAGAGACAACCGTAAAGTGGTAAATTATTTCTACGAGAAAATTGTTCAGAAGATCCTAGAGAGCCAGTATATGGAAATAGCATGGAAAGTATCGTTTAAAGTAGAAGTCCAAGTATAATACGATGTTTATAAGAAATGAGAGACAACATAAAACCATATACAACTAGACTGACAATAGATTTGTGTGAACTATTAACAAACAATACATTATCTCTTGATGATTTTTAATTCGATTTACCTATTCGTTTTTCTTTTCTATATCGTAAGTCGCAATTTATGGTTGTTACTCTACTTGAATTATATATTTTTAATTCAAGTATCTTACCCATAGGAGATGATGGTTGTTTGACTGTAGATAAAATCATTTAACTACTGCTATCTTCATTTCTTCAATAACCAATTCCATGTAGCCAATCGATAAGTAAGCTCTTTCAAGCTTACCTTATCTAATGACTTTCTGTATCCGACTTACTATTTGTCAATCAGGCTCACAAAAGCTGATTTATTATTGAAGTAAATCTAATCTTTTATTCTAGTAAAGAATTTTTATTATCATAGAAAAATATTATTTCGAATTATAATAGAAATTAATAAAGCTTGTTTTTCTCATTTAGAAAACAATAAGCGTGAAAATAATAAATTACAACTCACTTCTTCATTTAGTTTAGCTTTACTAACTGATGACCATATAAAAATAATATCTTCATCATACTCTATTTGTACCAATAGTTACGAATGACTAGAAGAAAAAACCAGTAGGATAAAATAAAAAATTAGGACAGTTATTTGCAACTATATTCTATTATATTGTAAACTAAATGTTATTATGTTCATTTAATCTTTTTGTAATGATACACATCTCTTATTTTCCTGGCTAATGTCTTATAGCATTGTTGCGCATTCCCATCGTGGCATCGTGACTCGTAGCTATTTTTTTCTCTTTTTGTTTTTCTATATATTCTTAGCAAGTTAATCTATCATATAAAGTCGATAACAAAAACAAAGAAAGATTGAAAAAGAAGGAAGATTAGCTTCATATTCATTGCAAAAAAAAGTACAATGTCCTTGTCATCAGTTGCTCTACAGATTCTTGACATTGCACAAAAATTAAACTTTTATGGCTTGTTTATTATTTTCATTGCCGCTCTTATTGGTAATGTTCTCAATATTTGTGTATTTACTAAAGTGAAGCTTTTCAAAGGTAATCGTTGTGCTTATTACTTAACCATCGAATCTATTATCAGTATATATATATTTATTCAATTGTGTATTCCTCAAATATTTCAATTAATATATCAAACTGATCCTGCAAATACCTCTCTTTTTTTTTGTAAAATAAAAACGACATTGGGTCAATCATTTCGACTTCTGATTGATTTTATAGTATGTTTTGAAGCATTAGACCAATATCTTTCAACTAATCCTCGTCTTTATTTTCGGCAAATGAGCACATTAAAACTTGCACAATGTTCAATCATTGTAGCAAGTATTATATGCATTTTACAGACAATACCTTACATTATTTTTTATGATATTGTTTCTCCATTTGGTTGTATTATAATCAATCAAGGTTTAAAATATTATTATTCTTTTGGTTATTATATTTTTTTAAATGGATTTCTACCAATTTCAACTTCAAGTATATTCAGTTTATTGGCCTATCGCAATGTCCGTCGTATAATTCGACGACAAATTCCAATTCAACGTCGAAAACTTGACCAGCAATTGACAGCAATGATCTTTGTCCGAGTCATTTTGTTTGTTGCTATTCTATTACCATTCACACTATATCGAATCTATACAGTCAAAAGCACTGCATATCCAGTTGGTAGTCTTCAATATGCAATAGTTCAATTAATTACAACAATCGTTGCCTTAATAATGATGTGCAACTATGCTGTAAGATTGTAATTATTCTTTTTATTTGAATGTTTAGAATAATTATTTTCATAGTTCAACTTTTATATATTTTTTGCGACATCATCACGATTTCGGCGTCAACTTAAATACTTGTTTGTGAAAGTTTGGTGGCCATCGTTAAGATCATGGTTTTATTCAAATGAAAATAGGATTCATCCTTTGAATATAATTCCAAATGAATATAGTACAGGATTGAAATCATGAGCATTTATTTCCAATAGAGAGAACTATACTATTTATATCGGTTTCTCTCATTGTTGCTTATCATACATAAAGCTTTTATTATTATTTAAAAATAAAATTAATACAAACAATAAAAATAATCGATGCATGAACAAACATTCACTTATAGAATATAATAAATATTTATAGTGACTGTAAAATATTACAGCATTTATTAAAATACAGAAATATTTATTAAATAATGAAGCTTCATAGATGATTTTTACTCAATATCATAGAATTTGAGATAGACATTCAAGCCAACATCCAAATCCATATAAGTTAAAGATTTTCTTTTTCGAATGAATTCTTAGTAAGCTTCAATGAAATTTCTACACAATAACGGAAGTAATTATCTATTTCAGTTGAATATCTTCGATGAATTTTTTTTGTGCATTTATTTTTTTTCTAATTAAGCCAAATTACTCAATAAAATCTTGTTCATATATAACGTTTCGAGAATATGACTTCTTATGCCATTAAAATAGCGTTACTTTTGCTGATTTTTGAAGTAGTGTAAATAAATCATCGATTAATCACGATATTTCAAGAAGAAATGACATAACAAGTATTAGTTTACAGATAATACATGACATCGTATATAAAAGTTTCCTATAGTGGCTATTCTCAGAGTAAATTTGATAGAAAAGTACCTAAGGAATCGCTATTTTCTTTTAGAAAAAAAGTCACAAATCTTTTTCATTTTTTCTGGGTGTATGGTTTTCTAATCACGCATTCCAGCATTCTTTCAGAAGCTTCATCGTAGTCAATGACTTTTTTAGCACTTTTACTAAGTAGGGCGTCATTTTTTCAGTGTTTTTCGAGATATTGAACTTTTCATCGTTATTCTCCGCTTAAAAAGTACGAATTTAAAAAAATTAAGTCTATAAAATGAAGACCCACCAAAAATTTCGTATTGTCAAATGAACTGATTTTGATCCTTGTTCGTTGAAGATCTCTCGAAAACATCATTGTGTGGATTGAGATTGATTTTTGAGAGGAGGAGCACAAGTGAAAAGTGTTTCTCAGACTAGAGCTCAGCACTATTTTCTGTTGCTGAGAACTCTGAAAAATAAGTTCGATAACTCTTGTCCTTGTTTGTTATGGAAAAGTATCCAAAACCTTATCGTCTTCTTCGAAATCCACAATGTGAGTTCTACACAAGTATTAAATCATCTTTTGTAAGAAAATATTAAAATCTTTATGCAAACAGTCATAAAATATTAGTAAAATTGTTATTGAAGGATACATAACATCTAATAATAATCTTTATTTTCTTCTATATTATCAAATAATGGAATCTATGAATTCTGTTTAATATATCTTGCATAAGTTCTTAAATTTGTACAAAAATCATTTCATCTAAAGAATCAAAATTTTCTCGATATTACTAATTGTACATTTGTCATTTGTTCATTATCAAGATGTGTCATAAATTGTTCCATTTTATCAATTGTGTTAATACGTCATACAACAAGTTTAGGTATTTTATCTATATTAGAATGGACAAGTTCAACGATATATTGCGCTAAATTAATACTTCTTAAATAAATATTAGGTAATGTTGATTCCTTTCATTTATTTGATGAATTCATTATGGTTAAAGAATTTTGGGGTATACCTTAGTATAGTTTCCATTATAGAAATCAACACCTAACACCTTATCATTGGTTATGCATGAATTAGATGTAGCAATGATTTTTTTTTCGTACATCTGTATTCGTGAAAAAGTTTCATCATCATAATATTTCTTAGAAAATACTAAACTATTTTCTTGTCTTTTTTTAAATATATTTTGAAGTATAAGTATACAAATATTTTGTTAATCATAAACGAATAACATCGGTACTTTTTCAATGTATTTTTATGAGACAAAAATTTAATTCATAGTGTTTGTTTTGATTAATCATGTAACTAGCTCATATTACATCCCTTTCAAATATTTCACCATAAATGTCGTAACGAAATATCGCGAGTAATTTTCTTTTGTCTGTTGTGTTCGACCGCATATTTGTAAAATAATAAGACCCAACCACAGACGTTAATAAGACGTTGCCAGATCGCTCTATTGAAGGGTGATGAAGAAACCGCAAACTCTTGGAGTACATTTTCAATCTTCATCCTCATATTCAGCTTCTGCGATGTTAAGATTCACGAATGGCCTCGTTTGTTCTAAGTTAGGTCACATATGCTTTGACAAAGTCAACTTGCTGATTAGTAACAACAGCTACATTGTGTTTCACATTTTAATCATGCAGGAATACTATCTTATTCGACAATATGTAATAGAACATTTTTTGTGATCGAAATGTAAATGCTTTACATACGTGTCTATCTCGGCTTTCGAAAATAATTTTTGTCACCCAAACAGTCGATGCAGGTCACTATTAATCAAATAGGATATCAACTTGAAAATTTTCTAGACAAATAATACTTCAAAACAGGTACTTTAGTAAGTTAAACTTATACTTTTTTATCTCGTGTCAAGAAAAAAAACTTATTTTATATCATAATAGAATTATGCTTGACTTTCTTTCTCTTGTTAGTCAAATATAACACATTTAATGAAAAAACTTGTTGATGAAGGTTAATGAGCTCGTCATGTAGAGCTCTATGCTATTGATAGTCATCCAATAATCTTTTCTCTCAAATTATACTAAGTCCATTAATAACAATATTGACTAATTCAACTTGTTGAGTGTAATCGTAATGAAATATGTTCCAGAACGGTTTATACAGTTGCGACGCACACTGATGATTAATATCAACGAAAATTAAAAACAAATAATAACGATATTCTAAGCTAAATGAACAAAACAATTCTCGTTGACTTAATCTGATTACTCGTAGAAATTATCAATCCATTTATCGAACTCATACGTATTGAAGGCGAAATTTCTATTCTCAGATTCTCATTACCTTCAAATTCAATGCATCTTCATACAAGCAAGCATTGATATTTCGACGTTTACGATCTTTTTTTTTTAAAATGAACGAGCTATACTAATTCCGTTAGCAAATGTTGTTCGTTTATTAACCTTTTCTTTTCGTTATTTCTTAGTTACAGAGTTCTTGTCAAAAAACACATTATCTGATGAAACTATGTTAGTTTTCAAGAGACATTTTTTCCAAGTAAAAGATATCAACAGGTCATCGAAAGTGAGGTAAGCAAAAATAAGAAAGAAATGAACTATACATATATGAATTTTCTTTTAGTTTGCGTCAAGATGTACTCATTTGATATCGATCAAGGAAATATTGCTCATCGAATCCACGGGAAATCATAATTTCCACAATAATGGATACAAGTATCGAGAAGGTGCACAAGATTCATAAGTGTTTTTATTTGAACAAATTTAAAAAAGAGAACTTCGACTTCTTTTTCTGATTGTCCGAAGTATCATCGATCGGTGAACTATTTGAAGTTAAAGTTAGGACTGACCAAGCCGTTGATTCTGATGGCTTCACGACAAATGTTTCCCAGAAAGGTTCTTCAAATGCAGCTTGGTCAAGCCAAACTGTCATTGTATCATCTGTCACTTGGAACAAAAATTTAATTTGTCGTCGTTGATCATATTTCCATTTTTTTCTGTCATAATTCTCAAAAAAGCCACGACGATTTATTGAAATAACGACCGAAAGACTGCGAAGATGTATTAAATATTTCTTCAATAGTGAAACATTATGTAAGTTTGATGTATTGATTTTTAGATGTTCAATAGAAGGAAAGCACTTGCCAATAATAATAATATCTTCTCCATTGAATAGGTGCTCAGAAAGAGAAATATCAAGGTGTTTTACATAATTACTCTTTCTCATGAAAGCATACATATTTTCAAAAAGTACATCGAATGTTATATAAAGTAAACTCATATTTGTGAGAGATGCTAAGAGTGCTGCTAATGCGTCGGTGTTTTCCTGTGAGCGTATAATAGCAAGTTGTCTGATTCGAGAACAATTTACATGTGTTTTCACCCATTTGAGTAGCGAACTATCCATATTATCCACTATAAGACACTTTACATTGTCAAAATAGTAATGACACGATACAAAACTATTCATATCGTCAATTCTCAAATTTATCTTTTTATTTACTATCATAAGATTATTATTATTACCAGTACGTTTAGGTGCTATCCAACATTGAATAACAGGCCAATCAAATTCATATCGAACAATGTGTTTCATTTTGTCTATGCCGAAACCATCGAAATCCGAATATTCATGTTTGGTTACTATTATATTGAAGTTCTTTTTCGATATCCAATATGAACTTTGAAATGAAGTGAGCACATCTTGAAGATCAACTTCTTCTATACGAAATGTAGTTGTTTGAAGAGTAAAATGAGTTAGTAATGGTAAGGATGTTTCCAACAACATCTTCCATGCATTTGCATCAAGAAGTTTACTGTGTGCTTTAATTTCAAGATGCTTTAAAACAGGTATACATGTCAAATATTCTGTTAACATATCCATTGTTATTGAACTGTCTCGTTGAAAATATAAGACTAGTGTACTAAGTGTAGACGTTGGTATCATATTCTTTTTTTGTTTCCTTTCTGTTTCATCATGATAAGGATATATTATATTGATTAAATCAACATCGAGATATTTAAGATGAGGAGTACATTTGAAAATATATTGTAGATCTTGAAATCGAAAATGTATACCAGAAATAGTCAAATGTTCAATATTTGATGAGACCTTGGCCAAATCACTCCAGTTTATAGAATCTATTTTACTCATAAGAGAAAATTGTTTAAGCGATTTTAAGCGAAAAAGATCGACAATAACATTTCCTAATGAGGATCTATTATCTGTGTTTGTTGCTTTAATTGATAAAGTGTTAATCGTCATTTTTGATAAGGAATTAAGAGCTCTTTCAACAATTTGCCAATCAATAACTTCACCATCAAAATGAAAATAAAGTGTTCGAAGTTGTTTAAATGATTCAAATGATGGTAAAAAAGAAAGAAAAGCATCAACTTGACCAGGTGTGTCTTGTTCTGATATGAATAATTCTTCTATTTTATCGATATAGGCTGGTAAAAGATTCATACAGAATCGAAAATCGTCTTTTTGACATCGAATAAAATCAAAACGAAGTCGTTGGCATCGTGTAATAAGTGCATTGAAACGTTGATTAAGTTGAAAGTCAAAAGCTCTTAGTAGATCTACTCCATTAATGTATTTCTCAATAATATCAATCAATAGTTCGTTTGGAAGTGATTCAAGGTTTGAGAGAGGCATATATTCAGACAAAATAATACTAACGATTGATAAGTAATGTTAAAAAGTCTATGTAACAACACAGTCGTATTGATGGAAATATCGAAATTCTAAGTCACGGTTTGTTATGCTTGAAGAATGTGTTACGCATGCGTAATAATATACTGTCTCTGAAAAGAACGTCATTCCGTTCGTCCTATCAATAGTAAATGTACTTCTCACTATCGACATCTATAGAAAAAAAAGCAAATCGGTCAATGAAAAATAAATCAGAAGAATTCTAATTCATCCTAATTTAGCATAAAATAAGAAATAACTTAATACTAATCTTATTTTGGTGAAACATTTTTCTCTTTAGATATTCGTCACTAAGAAGGTTGTTTCCATAGTAACGAAGGGTACTAAAAATGTAGCATTTGTTAACAGAATGGTTATCTGAAAAATTCATTTCAACCTAGAGATAGTATGTTCGAATCAGAATAAAATTTTGAATTGTTTGATATATTAATATCTCAAACATGGGTCTCGCATCAACATTACAAGAAATAGCCATATTGCTTTCCGAATTTTTTCTCTAAGCCTCCTATTTTTACTAGAGTAAGACTAATTGTATTGTTGTTATTTAGTTTATTCCCTAAGTTGTATTTGAATTCAGTTCCATCAGTTTTTGTCTAAAGTTGCAACCCAAAGTTGCGAAACAGGCGTCATCTATTTAAATAAATTGAATTTGAAATGAATTTTATCTCTGTTGTTAAAATTGTATTATTTATTCTAAAACTATTACTCGTGAATCAAAGCAACTACTAATTAGATTCTAAAATAGTATATTTAAGAATTTTAGTCCTTATAATGGCAGGCATTAGGATATATTAAATTTTTTGTCACCTGCTAAAGTTTCGTTGGTTAATATTCTTTTATGTCGCAAATGTGACAATAACTCAACAGAAATATCAAGTCCAGCTCCTATAGCCGATTTCAATGCTGTCAAACGATGTTTGACACTTGTGGAAATTCGAGCTATTTATCAACAGCAAAAATCAATCAACCAAGTTAAAGTCGGTACCTATATCAATACCCAGGTCGTTCATGCCCGGCCGTAAACGGCCGTACACCAATCATTTACGACGAAAAACGACAGCAGTTTACAGTGACCATTTACGACAGTCATATACGACGTTTTACGGCGTATTACGTTAATCGTAAACAATGACCGTAAACGTTCGTCCTTTACAACAACCGTAAAAATACGGCGACAGTAAACGATGCTCGGATAATATCGTAAGATATCGCAAACGGCAGTCGTATACAGTGACTGTTTACGGCAATCATATACGATGCTTTACAGCGTATTACGCTCATCGTAAAGAATGACCGTAAACGTTAGCCGTTTACGATTACTGTAATAATGCGGCGACTGTAAACGACACTCGGATTATACCATAAGATGTTGTGAGCGCCAGCTGTAAACGGTGTTATCTAAGATCATCGTTTTTTATTGTAGTGTTCTTGCACAGTTGTTAACGACGACGAACTACTTTTCTTAGACATAGTGGCAAAATCAGAACTTCGCTACTAGAAGAACCGAAATTTGAAGCACTTTTTTTCAAATCTATCAAAAATAGTACAAATTTTCATAAAAGAATCTGAGATCGACACCATCCCTTGCCTCGTAAAATTCTCTTCACGGATACATTCTTTAGATTTTTATCAATAAATCAACAAATTTTCAATTGTTAATTTCGGATTTCGTTTAAAAAATTTTGTGTCCACATGAAGAGTATTTTACGATTTTGTATTAAGTGTATTAAGTGTGGAAAATGATCACTCTAGAAACAGTATGCTGAATATTGTTGTATTGGGTCTCTCAATTGAGGCAGATTTGTGTAAGATTGCAACTGAAATGTTTAATTAGCAGTATCTCTTGTATCTCTTGAATAACTGGTAAAAAAGACTGCGAAAGTGGATTTTGCTTTGCTCAGTGCGCATCAGCTAGACATAATGTTTCTCAAGATCTAATTTGACAGATTCTCCTATCTGAAATTGAATTTGCAGGGTGAACTGCACGTACATGAACTGAACTATAATACCAAAGATCCAGGAAATCCCTGTTGTTCTATGTGAAACCCATGTAAAAAAAATTTTGATGAAAAGTCAGATTAAAACCGATTTTTCGATTAATAATCGAATTTTGATAGATTATAATGACGTTATTTTTAATTTGATTTTAATATGATATCTGAATCTAAATGATGGATGGGATTTGATAATAATTATTTTTAATTTATTTTAATCGATTGTTAAAATTGTATAAATGACTATTCGATTGTCAATCTGACTTTTCGTTAAAACCTTTTATATGGTTACAATAAGTGGCTAATAATAGATATAATCACAATAACAGACATGAGATCCTATTTGTGTTACTATTTGATTCAACAGATTTCTTTCTAGATGCGATCAAATTGTCAATAAAGGCATTCTATTTACGCAACTTAAATTTACTCATACCATTTTAAACTCGAGACTAAATAATTCTTTATGTTAACATACTTTCTCATAAGATTTGACTCTTTTTTTAACATACCTAAAGTTAGCACCAGATTCGTATTTTTCTGGTCCGGATGTGCCTGTAGAGCTGTGCTGGTTCCATAAATGATTGTGTTAGGTGCAGAACTTAATTCTCTATCGTATGGTACCATTTCTGAATGGGGTTATCGGGTGAAAATAGGGGTCTTCTTCAAAAATACTGATATTACCCACACAGGGTAATTTCACAATAAGAGTGCCGGTGACGGGCAGGATGAGAAGGTGAAAGTGATGATGAGCATAGTTACTGTCGAAAGAAGCTAACATTAACGTCGACCTCATCATTACCCTTACCTCTAGCCATTCTCTCCCTTACCGCACCCTCACTCTAGAGTGGTTAGCGAGGGATAAAATTCTCGAAATTCTATAAATCTCAAAGTGGATTCTCCGAAATCAATGCATCTATAATTCGGTGAAAGAAGCGTATGCCGCAAGTATTATGCAACCAACAATTGGTATTTCGTTGCACAAGTTTTGAAAGCTATCATTGAAACTCGTTTTCATCGTTTCCATTACCATAATATATGTCTAATATACACATATTACTTTTTGTTATTGAAATGCTTTTTGGTAATTTCCTTTTCATCGTTACACCATGAACAACCTAAACCAAAACATTACTAACAATATCAAGAAAAAAAAAGAAAAAATAAACTAAATATTATTTGACAGTCTCCACAATAAAAATTATAAACGAAATCAACTTTTCCCAATGCATCTTTAGTCCTGTTCCACTGAATAGAAGTGTGATTAATTTAACGAGAATCAAGGTTTCATGCAGAAAAACAGCATTTATCACTTATCTTCAAAACTTCCGAAAACTATTTCCGATGCAAAGTGAATCACCATGTCGAAACTACCATATACATGAGAATCTAACCTCATGATTCATGAAACAGCATTTTTATGAACATGCAGCTTGTTTTCAACATAGATAATACAAAGACGGGGAAAAGCTCTCAGCTTCAAAACTCCGCCTGCCAGTAAGGCAACAAACATATTCCGACTAACAAACGTACCAGAAAATTGATTTTTTTCCACATCAACTCAGCGTACTAAACTCAGATTCATTCATTTATCAATACCATCATTTAGTACCAGAAACCATATTTCTACCAATACAATGAGTACCACTAAACATCTCACGCAATTTTCATCCAGTATACTCACAAACACTTTCGAAAACGTTATTCACATCATTCAAGGTACTAAAACCACAACACAAAAAGTATATTCCAAAACATCAGGCGAGGTGAAAGACGTCGCCCTACAAAAACTAGAAAAACAACATTCAGATCCCAGTTCTTCGTTCCCATAACCAAGGCATAACTCGCTCTACTTTCCCATACATACTACTCCTTCATCCCCGCACCGTCATTGCTTTGAACTCGCAGCAATATGTTCACTCAATTCCATCCTATCTACTCCACATAAGTATCAATCGGAGCCCAACTTACGATCCGAAAAGTAACCACAAAAAATCTGCAACATGATTCCCTAGTTCACGACAGACATACTGTTCACGAAAAATTCTGATTTCGAAATCCAAATTTCTTGAAGATTTCTGGTCAAGCAACCATTCACCGATTTTTTTAGTAGCAACAGCTCTATATATACCAGGATTTACTTTGCCACTCAACCATACTCTTCGTCTTTCCTCTCGAAAAATCCCACTTTTGAAATCTGGATTTCTTGTAAGACTTCTGGTCGAGCATTCATTCACCGATTTGTTTAGCAGTAATAGCTCTATATATACCAGGATTTACTTTCTCACTCAACCATACTCTTCGTCTTTCCTCTCAAAAAATCCCACTTTTGAAATCTGGATATCTTGTAAGATTTCTGGTCGAGTATTCATTCACCAATTTGTTTAGCAGTAATAGCTCTATATATACCAAGATTTACTTTGCCACTCAACCATACTCTTCGTCTTTCCTCTCGAAAAATCCCACTTTTGAAATCCAGATTTCTTGTAAGATTTCTGCTCGAGTATTCATTCACCGATTTGTTTAGTAGCAAGAGCTCTATATATACCAGGATTTACTTTCTCACTCAACCATACTCTTTGTCTTTTCTCTCGAAATATCCCACTTTTGAAATCTGGATTTCTTGTAAGATTTCTGGTCGAGTATTCATTCACCAATTTGTTTAGCAGTAATAGCTCTATATATACCAGGATTTACTTTCTCACTCAACCATACTCTTCGTCTTTCCTCTCGAAAAATCCCACTTTTGAAATCGGGATTTCTTGTAAGATTTCTGGTCGAGTATTCATTCACCGATTTGTTTAGCAGTAATAGCTCTATATATACCAGGATTTACTTTCTCGCTCAACCATACTCTTCGTCTTTTCTCTCGAAAAATCCCACTTTTGAAATCTGGATTTCTTGTAAGATTTCTGGTCGAGTATTCATTCACCGATTTGTTTAGTAGCA